TACAGATGCGGTTAGAGAGGTGGGCTGTTTGTGTCAGTGAAACATCAAGTTTGTAGCACTAACGCGTAAATGAACGATTGATTGAAATGACTTACTAAGATACATAAAAGGAATCCAGGTGTATATGGATGTTTACATTAATTCTGCCACACCAGATTCAATATCTCTTGACATATGAACAATTCGTAATACTCTTTTTATAACACACACACAAGTTATGCTACCATAGTTACTTACACCTGAATTCCAGTAAATATTCACAGTCATAAGAGGATATAACTAAAACAACAGACTGTCTAGGATGAAATGAAAATACCTGTCTTACAAAAGTTTAAGAGCACAAGTACTCGTTCATACCTGGTAAATAATGTCACCTCGACGTACGAAGGAATCAGTTGAGTGGCGACGTGTTAAAGCTGAACGCAACCAAACGCATCGACAAAGTCAATATTATTAAAACAAGGATACTACAAACAAAACAGATACGCGCGACTCAGCCTCGAACTGTGTCAAACTTCAGACGAGTTAAGAGTCACTTGTGTCTGATGTTATTGGAGAGTTCAGATGTAGGTCATATCTCACGGCGAATCAAATCAGACCTGAAGCGGTGATTCATATCGATGTTATAGATACGATACCGACAGAGCTTCAGCTTCCCTACCGGTTTCACTACTACCTCGACAATTAGTCCGTCCTACGGAACGAGAACTTTAGTTGTGCGCATTGCGCATGTCACTGAGGAGTACCATAGGACGAAGCCATTTTCCCAATGGACAGGGTTCAATTTTGCAGTATGTTGAAATTGTACAGTAACAAACTTTAATAAAATAAATCATTTGTTCCATTGGCTATAATTGTCCTCAGCACGCCATTTTTAAGTAGAGCTATTTTACTCCTAGTTTTGATGTTACTTTGCTATTTTAATTAACTAATTTTTACATATAGGCTACATATGCTTATTACAATGTTAACTTCTATAGGCTACATGCTTAATGTTTATTTACTGTTCACATCTGTCTGTCTTGTATGCTGGTGTTAAAGACAATTTTCTATTTTGACGAATTGAATGGACAATAAAGTAAAATAAATACAAAAAACATACCAATCTTAGTAAAAAAATAAAAGGAAAATAAACTGAATTACAAAAGCACTCAGGTATGTGTTTCACCAAACAGGGTTTATTTTCAGACAAAACAACAACAACAACAACAACATATTTCTCAGCCATTGAGTAAAGAGAGTTATTTGGTGACTGGTTCTAATAGCTACTACTGTCGGTATTGATGACAAGAAAGTTGGGGAGAGTTTATCCACTCTCAGCCCCCCCCAAACCCCGTCCAGCGTCATATGTAAATCAGACACTGGTACAAGGATTGGGAGAGACAGAGATGGACAGTCACACAGAGAAATGGAGACATAGTAACATGTTATGAAATCAGTTGTTGAGAAAGTATGGATGAGCATTGATAGAAAAGGTCAGTCATTAGCAAAAAAGAAAAAGAAAAAGTATGCTGAAAACAATTCAAGCTGACAAGACTGAAAAGGAGCAAGAGGAAATTCAGATTTATGAGAAACTAATGAGAGATATATCAGTTTGCAAACATTCTGGGTTAAGTACCATTGAAAGTCCACACAAATTCAAAAGGTCACAATGTTTTTCATCATTAAGAAATCGCAGGGACAGAAAATATCAGTAAAGAAATTAAAATAAAATCTGTAGTTACCACAAAAAGCCTCTCAGCACCAACATCCTTCATCATCCAAAGTTGACAAACTCTCAAGCTTTATCTTTACTTGTAAATTCATATCTGTCCGTGCAACTTTTTCTTCTCTGAAGCTTCATCTGCTCTCTGATGTCTTACCTCAGAGTTATTTCCTCTTTAGCAGAGATGATATGCTATTGCGTCTGCACCCTCCTTCATTTGCTTTCTTCATCTTGTCTGTCTTTATTTAGCTGTGCACTGCACTCTCTTCTTCCTGCCTACCCTCTGACCTGTCCTGACTGCTTGTCCCTCTCTTCGCTCCGCACTCCCTATATCTATCCCTTGCTCGGCCACCCTATCAGCCCGAAATCACTGTTCTCCTGACCGTGAGCCAATAGGGAGCAACACAGCTGGGTGAGGCACTTCCTCTGTGACAGGAAACTAGCAAAGAACTCTCAGAGAGACACACACACATAGAATGTGGTACAGAGTTCAAAATGGCTACTCCCCTCTGAAAAAAAAAAGATTTTGTGGCCATTAAGCAAAATTAAATGGATCTAAATTGTTCTAATTGTGTATTTTCTACGCTATATTGTCCTTTAAGCACAGTCTAAAAGACTCCCAGTGACCTAACCTGTGTGCTAGAATTATTCCTGACTACATTTACTTTTGTTTATCAGGCCAACCTGCCATATGCACAACGTTTTAGTCATTTTGGATTAGAAAAGGATCTGTCAAATGAGGTGAGTTGCTTAAGGAATATTCCGGATTCAATTTAAATTATGCTGAATCAGCAGCATTCATGCATGGCATAATGCTGATTACCACAAAAATATTTTTTACATTTATTTTCTTTAAAAAAAAAAATCAAGATTATGAGACGCTTACAATGGAAGTGAATGGGGCCCATTTTTGGAGGATTTAAAAGCAGAAATGTGAAGATTGTAATTTTATATCTATTTTTATATTTATTATGTAGTGTTATATATGTAATTTTATCCAATTATTTCTGTTCAAATTTGAGCTGTATACTGTTTAAATCATTTTTTACAGTAATTTTAGAGTTCTAGGGTTTACAGCTTTACATTTCATGGTGACAGCTTTGCAAAATTGGATATAATTTTGCACAGAAATGGTTAGTAAGCTGTTTTTCACACTATAAAATTGTTGTAATTGTTTATGTCTTGTGGCTATACTTTTGAAACTGTGAGTATTTTTACATTTAAAGATATACTTCCATTCACTTCCTGTGTAAGTGCTAAAAAAAAAAACGGAACAAGTCAAAATAATTTTTTGGCGGTAATCAGCATTATGCCACAATAAGTCACCTGAGCTTAGCTTGTACTGAACCTGGAATATCCTTTTAACATCTAAACAATAGTAAACTGCATCAGATTTTGCATCTTTCACATTCAGCTGTTCCAGGGAAGTTTGCATGAGAAACAGAGGATGTGTTTATCCACTTGAGAACCACAGGCCACGACTGTGTGCAGAGGGCAAGAGATGAACAGATAGAGGGAGGGGTAGAGATGGAGCGATGAGATGTTCACACAGACTAGATAAAACATGGTCTGATTGGGGACTCGAGGCCTTATGGGAATAGAACAGACGTGACTACTATAGTGACCTCTGCTCAAACGAAGAAATTTGCGTGCTTTGCCTTCCACAGCTCATTAACATCGGCCGTAATTAAACTTATCAAGTGTAGTGCACCGGAAATTTGGAGGATAAATCTCAGATATGGGCAGAGTCAGACCTCTAAGTGCATCCGTTCCAGTTTCCGGAATGGCATTGTGAGTGCCATAAGAAGTGCCAAGGACAGACAGCAAATTTGGTTAAACCAAGTTTCATTTGAATCTCTCCTTGGTTATTATATACAAGTTTATAACCATGTGGCTATATTTTCTTTACATGTGTTCTGGTATGTGAGAAAATATCTTATGACATCAAAGTTATTTATAACTCCTGTACTGTCTGAGTCCCTGTGAGAATAACTTTGTCAGAACATTATTTTCAGTGGGTGTGGTGATGTAAGTAACAAAAACAGGAAATCCATCAGCGCACAGGCAGGAAATGCTACTGTTCAGTGACAGTAATAAGTAAACTCAACCAAACAGCCGCTAGTAAACCAATTCACAGTCACTCTAGAGAAAAAAAGATAAAGAAAAAAAAATGAATGGAAGAATGTTCTGGGATATACACCAAGAATTAACACAAATACTTTGCATGGAAATAAACACTTTGCATGATGAAGAGGGAAAACACAGACAAACACAAATGCGTGATGTTCTTTTTCACTGTAATATTTTTATTTCAATATTTAGCTATTCCACAAAAGGGTTTACACTAAAATGTTCACAATTCTAATGATAAATACAGTAACATTATCACTCTCTCTCTCTATCGCTGTCTCTCTTTATTCACACACATTCAGACATACAAATCTACAGTGCGTTCATGGGATCTGGCTGGAAAAAAAACTGAATGTTACAGAGTGGTGAAATAAAGCAATAATCAAATCACAGTAATGTCCATTTAACAATGTACAGTAATAAATCATTAGCTTAACTTTCAGTATATTACACATGGCCGGTTGTATGTTTGATTGTCTTTGCAGCCTTTTGCAATAACGTAGTTTGATTGTCATTGGCTACAGCCATTTATTTTTAGTTTTTATTCTTTTGAGCTACTTGAATGATTGTCATTTCTTAGCTTGGATGTAAGCTTGATTGTCATTGGTTTCTCCACGTCAGTGCAGCATTATGATGGGCTGGTAACTGATAGGCTCATACCAGACGTCTCAAAATCCATCATTTTCAATGCCATCAATATACACTACTGTTCAAAAGTTTGGGGTTAGTAAGATTTTTTTTTAATTATTAATTATTTTATTCAGCAAGGACACATTAAACTGATCAAAACTGACAGTACAGACATTTATAATGTTACAAACGATTTTTATTTCAAATAAATGCTGTTCTTTTGAGCTTTCTGTTTATCAAAGAATCCTGGGGGAAAAAGGTACCACAGTTTCCACAAAAATATTAGGCAGTGGTTTTTAATATTGATACTAAGAAATGTCCCTTGAGTAGCAAATTAGACTGGAGTAACGACTCTTGAAAAATCAGGTTTGCTGTCACAGGAATAAATTATATTAATATACATTAAAATATATATATTTAATATATATTAAAATAATAATAGACGTTATTTTAAATTGTAAAATATATTTCACAATATTTCAGTTTTTACTGTATTTTAATCAAATAAATGCACCCTTGGTAAGCATAAGAAACATTAAAATATCTTACCAAACCCAAACTTTTGAACGGCAACTACAGCAGCTTTAAAACCATCCTCGTTTTTGGTCACATGCAGTTTATCACATTGATTGTAAGTGGCACATCAATTAAACAACCATTTTTGTTGCATAAACATGAGGCAAGGTGTTGGCCTCATGCAGCTAATTTTTTACTATTCTCCAATAACTGAGAACATTAACCAGACTAATTTGTGCTATTGTCTGGCATGGTGCTGACTAGGAACTGCACTATAACTGTGCAGATCAAAAATGCTGGAGTCCATGTTCTTATCTGTCTGTGCAGGTTTGTGAGTTGTTGTTTTTTTTCACAGGATTATGGCTTACATAGACTTCTTCCCTGATGAGTACATAATCTAAACAAGTAGGGTTTCCTGACACATTTTTTGTTTAATAATTTGCTCAAAGTTGCTGATTGAAGCTCTGCTGGTTATGTCTGATAATGATAAGGTCTGTTTTTACTGCAATCTCGTCCAGTACTGAGTCAGACCTTGTCCCAGCTCCTGATCGCCGTCTTGAACTGCAGTCTGCCCTGCTGCAGAAACACCGGGAAAGAATCCTGAAAGAGACATGTGGCCACCTCTGATGACTAATTTGTAACACAAAAGGAAACCACAAAGCAGATAAACCACATTCACACACTCATTCCTCATGCAGTGTTTTGGCCTGTGGATTAGAGTATTCATATGCAGTGTGAGGGTGGAGAATGTTACAAAACGGTACACACCTGTGTTTGCACTGGCCGTGGGTGGGGGAGGGCTGGGAGGGCAAAGACTAAAGGAGAGGAGAAAAGAGCAAATAAAGACAAAAGATTAATCGAATTTCAATTAGAGTATCAACAGTTTCAGTAGTAAAATCAGTGGACAAAAAAACACCCCATGTAAGTTTACTCTGGGGTTTTTTTATTATGTTGTTTTACATCAATGTGCCACAGTCCTATCAGACCAGCACACTAGGTGTGTGTTGCTATGATGTAATTGAAAAGAGTGCATGAGGTCATTAAATATGATGAAGATATATTTGTTTCACTAAAGGGAGGGGATTTATGGACTAAATCTTACCTGCTGAACTGTAAACCTGCTGTATACGTGCGAGTTTATTTTTAGAAACTACAGCAGGCTGTGTATATTCCATCAGAAACACTAGAGGGCGCTTTTAAGCTATTTTAAATTATTTTGAATGTCAGGTGGACTCATGGTTTTACCTTTCAGTTGCGTAATAGGTGCGTGTACTAGAATTTTTTTTGTCTGCATTATTTAATATTGTAGAAAGGACTTTGTTTTGCATACTTTAAAGAAACAAAAAGCCGGGTGCTGTTATGTTTGAGAGTGCATATTTTTTTAATTAAGACATTAAAAAACATTTTTTTTGACCGTTTTGAGTAACCGCTAACTGCATTTGTTAAAGGAGCACCCAGAAATCGCTTTGTATTATTGTTATTGTTGTATTTAAAAAAAAACAAAAAAACGCCTTTACTAATTCAGTGAGTCGATTTAGTGGGGATTCGAAAATTCAAACGGTGTTTGTTTGTGAGATTTGTTAACAGAACCTGTACACAACCCTGCTGTACCTCGTGTCTGACTATATATATAGAGCGTTAGTTCACCCCTAAATTAAAAATCATTAAAAGTCATTATTTTCCCCCCTCGCGGCGTCCAAAAACGGTATAACTTTCTTTCTTAAGTGGAACACAACATAAGTTATTTAGAAGAAGAATTCAGAAGAAAGAAAGTCATACAGTTTTTGAACCACGTGAGGAGGAATAAATAATAACATATTTTTTAATTTGGGGTGAACTATCCTTTTAATGTAGTGGCATTTACAACATAAAACTTTTGCTTTTGCGCGCCACTAGGTGTCAGTATTATAACTCAAAACAAAAATTAGCCTACTGAGTACATTATTTATTACTGATGTAGAATTACATGTCCATTTGGTCAGACAACTTGCATATCAAGATACTATGGTATACTGCAAGGGAAGGTCATCGTGATTTACCTGCATACTGGAGAAGACAGACAGAGAACTATAGCCTGAGAGAGACGAATGACTCCGACTGTGCACTGAGTCTTAATATGAGAGAACACAAGAGGATAGTAACAACTCATTATTATTATAACAATAATAATTATTATTATTGTTCTAATATTGTGAAGTAAGTCATTAAAAAAGATGTACCTGAGCTGTTACTATGATGGGAGTGATATACTGGGGAGGTAAAGGACGTGCTCAGGGGAGTATGTGTCTGAGAGCAGGAACTGGTGCCCCCTGATCTCCTCTGGTTTCTCAGCTTTTCCTCCCTTCTCCACTTAGCTCTCCGATTAGAGAACCATACCTGTCAATCACGCAATATGGGTCAGTGCATAATGGACAGTGTCTTTATGTATTGTTTATAGGTACTTCAGCATTAATACATAAAATCTCAAAGAGGATCATTAAAATATTTCACAAAGGCAGTATTACCTGAATTCTGGCCTCTGGAAGATCAATCTTTGCAGCCAGTCTCTCTCTAGCAAAGACATCTGGGTAATGAGTCCTTTCAAACTCTGGAACACAGACTAACATTTATTACAAGCAGAATTGCACATTTTAAATTGTAACGGGATAGTTTACCTAAAAATGAAAATGTCATGTAGTTCCAAACCCGTGTGACATTCTTCTGTAGAACTCTTTGGACCCCATTGACTTTCATTGTATGGACAAAAAACACAGACATTTTTCAAAATATCTTCTTTTGTGTTCCACAGAAGAAAAACAATATAGGTTTGAAACAACTTGAGGGTGAGTAAAAAAATGACACAACATTCATTCTTGAGTGAACTATGCTTTTAAGGACTGTTTAGAGAAATGGAAAAGACAAAACATGAAAGTGTACGAAAGGAATGTGGCAGCATATGTAAAAGGTCCATCATTTCCAAATGCAAAAAGCAAAAACAATCCCACACAAATTCATCCTCTCTAGGATTGAGATTATTTTGCGAGCCAGCGCTTTGAGTCACACCTTTCTCCAGGGCATCTATCTGCTCCTGGGTGAAGCTGGTGCGGTTCCTCTGCAGCTTCCTCTTTAGCTGCAGGTGTAGCTGCGACTCGTCCACCTCATCCCTCTCTCCCTGCACCACTCCTTCCCCTGCTCTGGCCATCTGCACATTCAGATCTTCCACGCAACCATCTGAGAGAAATAAAAAGCATTAAACTTTAGAGAGTCTTGTAAGAGTGCTGCATTTCAGTGTGCAAATGTGTGTGTTATTAAACTGACAGAACTGTCTCTTTGAAGACTGTGTAATTGTAGTGCACTGCAGCATCTTGTGTTTGACGGTTTGACCTTATTTGTGTACGTGTGAATAAGCAGCAACTGTATTATGGGCATCTAATTCTGTGTCTAATGTCTGCTTGCTTTAGTTCCGCCTTCCTGTAATGAAACAGAGGATGTCAAGGCCAGAGATTGTATGTGTTTGTATGTGGGGGTACATGTGTGGCTGATGGTGTAGCTGTTGGCACCCTCTGTTTGTGCTCAGTCAAGTATAAGAATTGCTGGTTCACCCCAAAGCTGACTTCACAATCGCAAGCACACATACAGCGTAGATTCACACACAGAGGTGCTTTACTAATATATAAAGATATCATTAATTAACGCTCACATACCTGTTCCGTGTTGAGGAGTAATGGTGTCGGCCGGGTGGTACCAGTTGTTTGGGCCAGTCCAGTTGGAGCCGTTTTGTAAGTTCAGCATGGTTAGATTGTCATACATCAAATGTCAGAGAAAACACCGACCCTCTCCTTCTATCATCCAGACCACTTCAACCCTGAATGAAGGACAGCAGAGGTAAAACTCTGAAAAAAAGCTACTTGGAAAGATCAGATATAAGAAATTTAGAATTAATGTGGTAAACGGCTCTTTTACTTCATTCTTTGGGCCTATGTTGTGTCACCAACTATCTGAGAATATAATGTAATGTAATTTATTAAATTATTAATAATTTAATTTAGCAGTGGTAACTTTCAGGTAACTTTTCCTTGTTTATTTTCTTTGTTTTAATTTTATATAATGATCAATTGTTTGGCCTTCCTTCAGTCTTTGTTCCCAATGTCTCTTTGCTACTGTATATTAACAACTATACCCATTTTTAAAAACAAAAAATATGGAAACAATTTTAGCATCTTAATAAAAACCTAGATTTTAGTATTGTGCTAACACTGTTATTATCATATTCATCCATTTTTAAAATAATGATCTATTCCATAGATTATAATAAATTTGTCATAATGACATCATTGACCTTTCAGAAGTTAACTTTCAAATGACAAGTTAAAGTCCATTTACTGTTATCCATTTATCTTATGTTTTATGTATATCTTAGAATGTCAACCCTGTTTTCATGATTTTCTATAGTAAACATTAGACTTTAAAACATCTTAATTTAAAAGGGGTTATATGTTAAAAAAATTTCAAATTCAATTGTAAAATATCCACCCTGTTACCTATCTGAAGGCATAACTACACCCATTTAATATAAAAAAGTACTTATACAAAAATGTACTTAAAATTGTCACAACTCAAACTAGCATTCACAGAATGACCCATCTAATGTCTGTAAAGTATGTTACTATTGTATTTTAAACTCTCTTTATCTTTGTATCTCTCTATGTATCTTTCACAAGTACACACACATATACATTAACCCCCCCTCCCACACACACACACACACACACACACACACAGAGTTCATTACACACACACACAGAGCGAGTAATTAAGAAGTACAGAACATCTAGTCTGACATCGTCGTACACACACGCATGACTGGAGAGCGTAATACTGTCAACTAATGTTAACAACAATGCACACGGACACACACACACACACGCACTACACAACAGAGAGAGAGACACACACACCAACAAAACAAAGAGATAATTATAGATACACTGCACACAATGGCACACAATCCACGTTTTCAACTACAAACTGACTACACAACAAAAAGTACGAAAATGGAGGCATGAAGCCACCAACCGAAATGCAAGTATATTTATGTCAAAAAAATAGCTAGCACCTGCACATAATTTATAGAGCAGTGTTCAGCTAAATAAATAAATACTGGTGAAGTGTTAGAAAAAATATCAGTGGTTCCGTTGATAGTTCTGCATGTAAAACTATTAAACATTCCTACTGAGGCCATCGTCATGAAGATCTAGCCATTAAAATAACCTAGAAGTGTTTGCATAATTATATTTGCATTGGTTTTGAGAGTAAAACATGGCCCTCAAAGGCAAAGAATGATCTAAGACAGAAGGAGAAACAAAATATAGAGAAGTGACATAGCGGAACTACTACGTCAAATAAATATTATTAGAGTTCAGATATGCCCAGGAAATGAACAGTTAAATATTGATACAATCCATATACAAAGGCTTCTTTATGTATAATACGTAATGTCATATGTATATATTCAATTAATTTATAAAGTATAATAGTAAATGAATAAATTAAAAATAAAGCAATGCTGACGAGTATATAGACATGTTAAAAGGATTTGCACTAACTGAAATTAATTAGTTCAGTTAATTAAATATGACTTTGTATGACTCTCAAGCAAAGACAAATACAAGCACATTTAAATTATTCAAATTTTGTCTTTGGTGATGTAACACAACATATTGTTGTGTACAACACAGAAAATGTCAAAGGTCAAGTCTTCCATAACCTTTTCACATTTAACAAGCAATTTTCCCAAATCAATTTTGTTTTTCCAATAAAAGAGTCATGAATCTGTTAATGTCTCAATCGTTGTGTCGGCAGTGAAGGCAGGAGACTCACCTTGTAGATGAATGAATTGTAAAAGTGGTCCACACTTGCTCAGTGTCTCTATCACTTTCTGTTCATCCCGCTTTCCTTCTCTCTGTTCTCTTGCTTTGTTAATGTTAGACTGTGTTCGAGAGAGAGAGAGAGAGAGACAGAGAGAGCATAGGAGGAGAGGAAAGGGAGAGAAAGATGGAGAGAGTTAGACAGGGCGAAAGAGAGGAGGCGAGGGAGGGGTAGTGGGCTACAGAGAAATGCATCTGCAGGCACTCTGGTCCTTGAAGCAATGAGGGAGAGTGGGAAAGAGAGAGAGAGAGGGATGACACACAGAGTCAGTGTCAGTGTCAGGTCTGGACTTAATGCTAGGAAAAGGGGTGATGAAGTGAGAGAGAGAGGTGGAGGCAAAAAAATGACTGAAAAAGAGGAGACGTAAAGTTATTTCTAAAGTATCACAAAGGCAATTTACTTTTTGTAGGTACTGACTTCCAAAAATGGCTAACCTAAGAGCTGTGAGAGAGCTTCAGATCATGATCACCTTCTCTATGATGGCCGGCGGTCAGTGCACTGCTGTGATCAACACCAATGTATAAAAATAATGAAAATAATTACAAAATTTTCCATTCAAATTATTTTAATGGGTTCCTATGAAATAATCAAAACTCTATGCTGATATAAATAAAATGAATATATGATTTATCATAAAGTATTCAAATTCATTTCAGACATGAACATTCAGCTTTGCCATCACAGAAATAAATTATTTTTAAAAACACATAGAAATAGAAAACCGTTATTTTAAATTAAATTTTGTATACAATATTGCTGTTTTACTGTATTTGAAATCAAATAAATGCAGCCTTGGTGAGCATAAGTATTGACCTATAATTTTAGTATATTTTTAAAGCTTTTAAAATGGCATTGGGGCCATCTTTTCCCCAAAAAGAACATGAGGGTTAAAAGAAAGCAATTTAAATCATAATAAAACACACACAAAGACAACATATAGAAGCTGCTGTGCTGAAAAATAATTTCGATGAACAGACCTTTATATTGTTGAATTTTAAAACAAGACACTGCCATTCTCGTGAGAAGAGAAATTTCACACATTACTCTGTTCTCTGTACGATCCATGCTCGCTAGTACCATTACATGCAAACATGAGTAGACACTCTCAGACTTGCATGTGAGGGCCTCTCTTCTGCTACACACACACACACACACACACACACACACACACACACACACACACACATCAGAGTGTATATGGTATGTTTACCCTCCACTGCACTTTGTGACAATCCCAATGCTATATTTGCATATTTTATTGGATTAACTTTAAAAACCATAGAGCCTGTGACACGTTAAAATACGAGAGAATAATAGAGGGAGAGAGAGACTTGGAGGCCTCATACAGGAGACTCAGCCAACAGTACTAACAAGCATGATAATTTTGGTTCTAGTTAATATGAAAGGTTCAACTTAGGCAAATAAATATGAGGCCTCTTTATGCTCATTTGAGGTAAGAAGAAGGATGGATCAAAGGGGTTTTGATTTCTTCTTTTGGGTATTAGACTTGAATCAGTGAATCATGAACTATTTTCTTGTGTATTGATGTTTCTTTTTTTATGCATTCACTCTAAGACAGTGGTTCTCAACCAGGGGACCAGAACCCACTAGGGGGCATCAGCAAATTTTCAAGGATGCCCCCAAGAGTTGTTATATTAAATTATTCAAATTTAGTTATATGAACAAAATCTTAGTTTAAAATACCAAGAAAACCCCACTAAAACCTGTAGAATGTTATGCTGAAATATTTTTTGAGTTTGTTTATTTTATTACAACAGAAGTACCAAAGATACATATATCAGCTTTGACAGGAGGGCCTTCAAATATTGTCTTGGACAAAAGGGGACCTTTAAGACAAAAAGGTTGAGAACCACTGGACAAATTTTTTAAAAATGCAAATTTTTTTGCAAATGCAAATCGGTTACTTACCGTCATGTCTTTCCAGACCTGTATGAATTTCTTTCTTCAAGATTCAAGATTCAAGATTTCTTTATTGTCACTATACAAGTATAGTGAAATTTGAGCAATCCTAACAGTGCAGTCACATGTAACTTAAACATCTGTAATACAAAAAAAATATATAATAATAATAATAATAAAGTATGTTATTACTACACAATACAAGACAATCAATACACAAGTCAATGCAAACAAGGCGATAGTGCAACGTTAAGCCTTATCTGCAATACAGTCAGCGATAAACGGTATGCTGTTTAACAATACAATACAAAGACAGTACAAACAAGGCGATAGTGCAAATTTAAAACTTATTAAATATCGTATTGCACACATTATTGCACAGTTGGCACATAATAGAAAATATGTATATGTTGCATTGTTTGCATTCTAAAGGCTCCAGTGAGTGGACAAATATTGCACAGGAATGTTACAAAATAGACATAATATTGCACAAGAGGTAAGAGCAACGTAATGTAAACAGAACTGAATAATATAAAGTGTGAACATTTACAGAGTTAGAGCACACTGAGGTATAAAGGGGGTTTCTGTGGAACGCAAAGTTTAGCAGAATATTCACACTGCTCTTTCTATAAAATTAAAGTGAATGGTGATAGAATGAGCTGTCAAGCTTCAAAAATGACAAATATTTTATTCTGTTGGTCTGCTCAAAGCTATTGTATTACTTCAGAAGACTTGGAATACAGTGCAAGAGTCATGCGAAGAACTGTTATGTTACTTTTATGGTACTTTTCCATTGTATGGAAAAGAGCAGCTCGAGCGTTCTGATAAACATCTCCTTTTGTGTTTCAGAAGAAATAACATCACACAGGTCTGGAACGACATGAGGGTGAGTAAATGATGACAGAACGTTCATTTTTGGGAGGTCTATCTCTTTAATATGACAAGCACCATCAGGTCAATGGACACCATCATGGCACAAACAAAACACAGGAGTTTTGTGCGGTACACGCTTGATAGTGAAGGAACTGAAACAGAAAGAGAGAAATAGCAAGACATAACGAGGCCATGGATGTATCCTTGTAGAAAAAAAACAAGGAAGGAGGACACGGAGGGCACGAGAAAGAGAGACAGAGGAGGCGGAGGGTGCCAGCTTTATTTATTTCCGGTTGACAAAACCCTTCCTCTCTCATCCTCCCCCATACATATGTCTCTCTCTTTGTCACTCGTTCAGAGGATTCATGGAAAAAGACAATGACACGGAAAATAGACAGAGGATTTAAACAGAAATACAATGGAAGATGAAGAGCATCTTTCTCCGTGTGGATTACATTTTGAAGTAGTTACAAAAGTGAAGCAAATGAGAACGGATCCTAATAAAATGTTGTTAATATTTAGTGTCAGTGTGTTGCATACGTGACGTTGAGTGTGTGTTTATTATGTGTGCTGGTGTGTGAGCGTACGCTCCTTTAGGGCACATTTTTTCAGTGTCTTGTTAGTTCATCCCTGTCACCCTCTCTCTCTCTGCTGGGGGGGAGGGGGAAGAGAGGTCACCATAGCAACAATGCCGGGACAAATTAACATCAAGCGCTTAAACAAAATGTGTGTACATGTATGAGAGTGCATGTATATGTGGTAAAGGAGTAAGTGTTGTACTCAATACCCCGCTTGTGACGCCGAAATCCGGTAGAGGCATTGATGTTAATGCATCAATTACAAATAATTCATTAGGTCCACAGTCTCTCCATCACTCTGTGTCATCTGTTTGGTTCCCGAGCACTTGTCTTCTTCCTTATTTTGTCATCTCTGCCCTCCCATTTCCTTTCCCATCTCTCTCTCTTTCTGTCTCTCTGTGTGTTGTTGTGTGCCCCCAGGCTACAGAGTGCCACGTCTTCCCTCTCCCCTCCTCTATCTCTGGCCCTGTCACCTTCAATTGCTCCATGGTACTAGACACACAGCCACAGGCAAAGAGAGAGAAGAGAGGGGACACACACATACACAGTGAGAGAGAGAGAGAGAGAAAAAGGGGTGAGGACCGAGGGACGATGCACTGTGTATGTCTGGAGAGAGACAAAGAGGTAAAGAAAGATGGCAGGTGCGAAAAGTTGTGTGAAAAGATGTGAGGGAGAATGAGAGATTGAGAAACAACGGAATAAGGAGGCGACAAAGTTGAAGGAGGTATAAGTACACTCTTAAAAATAAAGGTGCTTCAAAAGGTTCTTCAAGCGATCTAAGTGGCACGGGTCCTAGCAACCATAGGTGCATGTATTTTGTCTTCTCATAGGCAGGCTAACATATACTTTAGATGCAATGCATTCTGCATAAAGTTTTGTAGATTTCTGTAGAATTTGAGCCTCCTTATATGCATACACACTGTTACATTTTTGGGGTCCTTTTCTTTTTTTTTAAAAAGAAGTCTCTTATGCTCACCAAGGCTGCATTAATTTGAAAAAAAAAAAAAAACGGTTTAAGTAAGAATAATGTGAAGCAGTTTAACCATTTAAAATAAATGTTTTCTATTTAATATACTTTAAAATGTAATTTATTCCTTTGATAAAAAGATAAATTTTCAGCCGCCATTACTCCCTTCAGTGTCACATGATCCATTGTGCTACTTGATATTTTTGTGGAAACGGTGATACATTTTTTCAGGATTCTTATTTATATTAAAAAAGAAATCTTTCGTAAAATTAAAAATTTCTTTACAAATACTTTTGATAAATTTATTGCATTCTTGCTGAATAATTTTTTTTAACTGACCCCAAACAGTACGATAGTTTATGCTGGCCCTTGTGTGTTTGCTTATTAAATATTTTGGATAATCTGATTATGCTCAATTTAACACATTTTACCTGCATTTACATGCAGAACTGATGTAGATTTCCCCTAAAAACAGCAGAGAAAGGATGTAAAAATCTGCAATTTGTCTAGGTCTGCTCATTAACCAAGTTAGTACCTTAACCTTACTTCTTAGACCTATAGCTCTACTGGCAGCCTGGTGATAGAAAAAAAACAACATGTTCTCCCTTTTGTCAAACTGACCACAAACAAATGACTATTTTGGATGTCAACTTTCTGAAAAGTGCATGCCAACCGTTTAGTTAAAAAGGAAGGATTCATTTTTTAAAAAAGGATTATACTAACTTA